CTTGAGGTTGACTGTGTGTGCTGGAGATTTTCAGAGATGGCAAGATCATAAGGGTTGCAATAGTCAGGAAGCCTTCACACATATGGAGAGATGGGAGAGGGGGCTGAATGATTAGGCACTGGTGTCTGACTGCCCAGGTTCAGAGCTAACACTTGGCTTTGTGAGCTTTGACAATGTTAAGTAACCTCTCAGTTCCTCACTCTTCTGACCTGCAAAAGCCAGTGAGGTAAATTACCAAAATGGCCACAAACTTTCACTCCTCCTTATATCCATGCCCTTTGCAATGTGACTCAGCATCTCCCTTCCAGGGGTGGAATCTATGTCCTACCTCATGAATCTGGGCTGACCCCATGACTTGCTTTGGCCAACAGAATGTGGCAAAGTGATGTGTTAATTCCAAGCTAAACTAACAAGCCTTTGCACACTTTGTCTTTCTCTTTCTTCTTCTCCACCTGTCTCCCACTCTCAACCCTTCCCCCACCATGTAAACAAGCCCAGGCTAGCCTGTTGGCGGATGAGACACAACATAGATAAAAAATTCGCATTGCTCCAGCCAACAGAGTGCCAACTCCCAGAAGCTGTGACCTGAAGCTGACCACAGACCAATGAGGGAGCCCAGCAGAGATCAGAAGGATTGCTCAGTCTAAATTACTTCATTCAGAACCACAAGCAAATAATTGGATATTTAAAGCCACAAGTTTCGGCATGGTTTTATGCAGAATTATTGTGGAAACAGGTAAGTAACAGACCTTGTGTCTCACAGAGTTGTGGAGGGAATTAAATGAGGTTGTCTATTTAAAAGTGTTTAGTTCAGTGCCTGGCATGAGGCAACATTCTATGAACGTTAACTATTATTCTTAGTGTGAGGCACTGTGTCCCATGTGGAGATTGAAACAATGATCTCAGCCAAATTATTTGTGCTAGAAGTTGACTCCACCTGAGCAGCCCTGGCTGCTTGTGGACCATATGTGGCCCCACCTACAGAAGCCTGGGCTCTGCCTAAAATTTCTAGCAAAACATTCTTAAAGTTATGTAATTAGCAGGCCCCCATAAACTAACTGAGAAGGATATGTGAAATTTGGTTGAGATGTGATAATGTTGTTAAACTCAGCTTCCATATAAAGATGAGGCATCTGCCAAAAGACAGCAGACAGGTTTCAACAGTTTCTTCATGTCCAAAGAGAAACACGGTGTGGCCAGCTTCCTAGAGGATATTTCTGTACTGCTCTTGAAAATTTCAGGCATACAGGCCACCGGACATGAGGTGTGATCAGATGGCCTCTGAAGACCAGACTTACTCCCACTGTAGAAGAGCTCTGAGCATCATGGATTGGGAAGAATTCGTGGTGCTACTTGGCTCTGATTGAAATTCTAATTTCAAGTGAGTCACTGAGTATTTGGCACCAATACAATTGGTTATTAGTATAAGGATGGTTTTCGATGCCTTGTTTGTAGTGGTAAAAAAAAAATGGAAACTGCCAGGATATCCATCAACAGGGGGATAGTTGAAGAAATTGTGATGCTTAACACCTATGAAATATTATGCAGCTCTGTTTATAAGTAAATTAAACCTATGTCTTTTGACCTGGAGGGAGCTCTGTGATGTATTAAGAGAGAAAATCAAGCAGCACAATTAATATACAGAGAATGATCCTATTTTTATAAAACAACAAAATCCCATCTAAGTGCAAAAATATTAGTATATGTCTGTGTGGGTAAGAAGGTATGAAATGATACACACCTGGAGAAGTGGAGCAGGAGCAGAGCATTACCTTTTCCTTTCTATTTTATTTTTTGTTCTGAAATAATTTCAAACCTACAGAAAGGTTGAAAAATAAAAAACAGCACAAAGAACACCTGGACTGTACACCCTTTACTCAGATTCACCTACTTGTTAACATTTTACCCCTTTAGGTTTATGATCTGTGCATGTTCCACCCACTCACTCATTCTTTCCCTCTCTTTCACTCACTCTTAATTTCTACACACACACACACACACACACACACACACACACACACACACACACACACACACACACAGAGTTTGTTTTCCTGATCCACTTGAGGGTAAATTACATACATCATGGGAATTTACCCCCTAAATACTTCAGCCTGCATTTCCTAAGAATGGAGCTGTTCTATTCATAACCAAATCACAGTTACTGGCTTCAGAAATATAACACTGATATAAAGTATGTTCTCTGATCACAAGAGAATTAAATTAGAAAACAATAACAGAAAGATATTGAGGTCTGACAATTAAATTCACAAACTTTGTTGCAAAGATGTTACTAATCATTTTTGATATCAGAGGGATTATTCACTATGAATTTGTACCAACTGGACAATTAACCAAGTTTACTATTTGGAAATTTGAAAAGGTCGCATGAAAAAGTTAGATGACTTGAACTTTTCACCAACAATCCATGGCTCTTACATCACGACAATGCACCAGCTCACACTGCATTGTCTGTGAGGGAGTTTTTAGCCAGTAAACAAATAACTGTATTGGAACACCCTCCCTACTCTCCTGATCTGGCACCCAGTGACTTCTTTCTTTACCGGAAGATAAAGGAAATACTGAAAGGAAGACATTTTGATGACATTCAGGACATCAAATGATGTCAGTGCAGATGGCCATTCCAGAAAAAGAGTTCCAAAATTGCGTTGAAGGGTGGACTAGGCGCTAGTGTTGGTGCATAGCTTCCCAAGGGGAGAACTTCGAAGGTGACTATAGTTATATTCAGCAATGAGGTATGTAGCACTTTTTTTAGGATGAGTTCGCAAGCTTAATTGTCTGACCTCGTATGGAAATTCCCCCAAGATATTGAAATTAAATGACTCACTTCTAAATAACCCATGGGTCAAAGAGGAAGTCACAAGAGAAATTAGAAAATATTTTGAATTTAACAATGTTAAAAAATAAAATAATCTACTGGTTCACTTTTCCTTTATACAGTTTTATAATTTATGTCCTTTGTCATGTGACTATACTACCACCTATTAGAGTAGGTGGAGGTGATTGATCTCCCTCCCTGTTGATATGGGGCTGGAACATGACCTGCTTTGGCCAAAGGAAAGGGCAAAGAATGACAATGTGCCAGTTCCTCACAAAAAGTGTTTTTTCACTGTCGTGTCCCTCTCCCATTGGCATGCAAATAGTACCCCCCTTGTACCTGCTTCAGTGTTGTCCTGGGACCTAGAAGGAACACATGTGGGGCAGACCTGAGCCTAACTCAGCTGTGGGCACAGACTGTATTAGAGTCGCCCGGCCAAGCCCTGCCAACCTGCAGACACGAAAAAAAAATACTTATTGCTGTGGACCACTGAAATTTTTGCATTTCTTTGTTTTATAGCAATGACGGATGGATGCAGTAGTTAATGCTATAAACACTTTCTTTATGTTACAAATCATTGTGAGACCTTTACTTATATTAAGTCATTTACATGCAACAATCCTTTTTCAGATGAGGAAACTGAGTTTAAATTGCTTGCCCAAGGTCATGTAGTTAGTAAACTGATAAGTTATGTGACCATGGATGTATTTCCTCTGGAATGCTGCTAGATAAGACAATAGTTGGTAGTGGTGGTTTCAGTCAGTTTGAGTTGGGGCTTATTTACTTGCAGCCTAAAGCACGCTGCCTAATCCAGCTGCACAGCCTTCTCCTTCCCAGCCTCATCCTCTCCAGCCCCAGGGAATCTCTGACAAGCTTGCGGAGAAAGCCCTGATTTTCCCCCAAATCAGTTTACACCGGGGCTTCTCCAAGGTGACCTAGAGATTTAGACTTTTGGAGCACCAAAGCCAATGGATCTGGTTTTCTGTCTATAGAAGTATAGAAAGGGAAAGAACGAACAGCAATATGATACAAAAAGAAAAATGGTTGAGAAATTAAACACTGAGTCAGCTGCTACCCAAGGAAGAGAAAATGTGTTCTGCTTCTTTCAGAGCAGGTTGGTTACAAAATGCTCAAACAGGCCTTGCGACTTGGAGAAGGAACACATGTTGGAAAGTGAGATGAGGAACCTTGCACCTGGGAGTTCTTCAAGGGCTGGGGCTAAGCAAAGCACGGAACTGCGGGGGTGCGGAGGGGTGTGAGACAAAGCGCACAGAATTCCTTCCTGAATTAGTCCCTCCAACCTGTGGGTCTCAACCTCAGCCATCTGGTAGAATCACCCAAGCTGGGAACCTTTTAAAAATCCCTGTGCCCAAGCCATACCCTAGACCAACTACAGTTGACGCTTGAACAATGCAGGTATTAGGGGCACCCACCCGCTGCACAGTCAAAAATCTGAATATAAATTTTGGCTCCCGAAAATCTTAACTATTAATAATCTACTGTTGACTAGAAGCCTTACCGATAACACAGTCAATTTACACATATTATATTTTGTATGTTACATGTATTATATACTGTGTTCTTACAATAAAGTAAGCTAGAGAAAAGAAATGTTATTAAGAAAATCGTAAGAAGAGAGAATACATTTACAGTAGTTATTGAAAAAAATCCACATATAAGTGGAACCACACAGTTCAAACCCATGTTGTTCAAGGGTCAACTGTACATCAAACTCTCTGAGGATGGGATCCAGACACAGGTTTTTGCAGCCAAGGCTGAGATTTACACAGTTCCAGCCCCATTTTAACTAGGGATTCCTCCACTCCCCTGAGTGTAGCCACCACTATTGTATGCCCACCAGCTACCAGGCAGCATGTCAGGTACTTCACATGCTATCGCAAGTGCTAATGTTCTTAACAAATAGGAAAACTAAGGCATGCCTAGCAAGTGGCAGGTGCAAGAGTCAAACCTAAACAGTCCAGAGACGAAGCTTTTTATATCCCTGCCACACACCTCTGTGATTCAAATGACTGGAGAATTAGAAAACAGAAATGTCCCCAAGATTCAAAGGAAGCCAGGGCTGGGTAGGCAGAAAGAGTAGTCCACTGTTGCTGACTAGAAGAAGCCCAGAGAAGGAAGTGGGGTTCCTGGGATGGCCGGTCTAGTGAGACCAGGCCTTCATAGACTAATGGGAGCAAATGAAAAAGAGAATTAGGCTAAGCAGCTGGAGCAAAGGTCACCCAGAGATAGAGAATAGAAGCCCGAGTTTTCCTTATAGCCCTTTCTTCCAAGGCCTAGAAACATGTATGGCAGTTGGTTGAGGACCAACTGAGGGCCTGGAAAAAAAATGCTGCGAGACCTGTCTTTGGGTTGTTTGTTTTTGCCTTGGTTCCTCCCTCCTTCTGCCCTCCCTTCCCCCACCATCTCCGTCTTTAATAAGTCATGAAAGAGACTTTTGAGGGACCCTCTCCACAAATTCCCCAGATGGAAGCAGCCATTTTAGACTTGGATGAGAATCATCATTTCAATTGTAGAAGGAACTCATATAAATGAGTAGAAACAGCACGATTCCCAAATTCTCTTGAGACTGATAAAGCACACAATTTATAAAAGAAGAACTACTACTAGAAAACATACAATGGAAAATGTTCAACCACACTAATAATGTTTAAAATGGCAAATTATTGCCTATTTAAAAATCAGCAAAAAAATACATAATACCTATCCTGGTAGTTTTGAGGTGAGATTGGTAACTTAATACATTATTGACCATATTATCAATAAGAAAGTGGCAATGAAAATGTTCACATCCTTTGACTTACAAATTTCATTTCTGGGAATGAATCCAGAAGTAAAAAAAAATCGAATCCATGGCAAAAATCCTTAAGCACAAATATGTTGTTGACCATAAACAAAAGTCAACTAGGTCTTTTGTCAGCAAAAAGGATTTGGACCAAAAAAAAAAAAAAGGATTGCCATCTGCTCTATGCAGCCATGGCAAGGCATGTGCAAGAAGAGCAAAAAGGAAGTTCTTTTTAGAGGGGAGAGGAAGCTAAGGGGAGGGGCTGCTATAACCATAGAGCTCTGTTGTAACCACAGAGTTCTTCTTGTAGGGCTTTCGACAGACATGGAGTATGAGAGTTCTTCCCATAAGTCTCCCCAATTTCTGTCTCGATTAAGGTCTCTATAATAAATTTTTACAATGTTTACTGCAATGCTATTTATAAAAGCAGAAATCTTAATGAGGAACAATAAAAGAATAACTAACAAAATGGAATGACTAAAAATTGGTCCCATTTGCTAAGTGAAGCCCATTTAGCAACTTGAAAAAAGTGACCATGATATAACATTAAGTGATAAAAGGACACAAAACTTCATGTGTACTATGATTACACTGTGTTTAAAAAATAAACTGACCCCCAAAATGAAAGCAATTTTAGACTGTAAAATTGTTTTTTGCCTTCTTTTAAAAATGTTCTATATCATGCTTATATTAATTTACAAACGAAACATCTGATTTATTTTAAAGAAGCAAAACCACCTGGATGAGGATGAAAGTAGAACAACAAGGCTAGTACAGTAACTCAGGCAGGCAAGAGATGCCAAGAGAAGGTGATAGAAAAGGGAGGGGTGAAGAGGGCGCATTAGAGTCAAGAAACACTTAGAAAGCTGAATGGCAGAACTTGGTCCTGACTGGCCAGGAGGAAGAAGGATGAGTAAATCCAGGCTCGAGATGTGAGTTTGGGCAACGCATTGACTAGTGAAGGGTGCTTTTCCCTGAGATAGAAAACACAGAGAGGAGACAAGCCTGGAAGCAAAAAGGGCCCAGGGTTTTTCCTTTTTTCTTCTCCTCCTTTTTTTCTTCATTTTTAACAGTTTTATTGTGGTATAATTACATATCATAAAAATGATCTATTTTAAGTGCACGACTGTTGTTGTTTTTTAGCATATTTAGAGTTTGCAACCATCACCACAATCCCATTTTAGAACATTTCCAATAAGAAACCTTCTACCCATTTACAGTCACTTCCCATTCCTATCCCCACACTGAATAATTCCTAATCTACTTTCTATTTCTGTAGACTTGCCTTTTCTGGACATTTTATACAAAAGGGATCACACAATATGTGATCTTTTGTGTCTGGCTTTTTCCACTGAGCATAATGTTTTGATGGATGATGTTTTGTCCATATTGTAGCATTTATCAATGCTTCGCTCCTTTTTATGCTGGGTAGTATTCCATTGTATGTATATATCACATTTGTTTATTCATCAGCTGATAGATGCTTGGGTTGTTTCCATTCTGAAGCTATTGTGAATAATGCTACAATTAACATTCATGTACAACTTTTGTGTGGACATACGTTTTCATTTCTCCTGAGAGGACTGCTGATTCATATGGTAATTCTATGTTTAACCTTTTGAAAAACTGCCCAACTGTTTTCCAACACGGCTGCACCATTTTACATTCTCACCAGCACTGTTGTTCATTTTCTTATTGTTGACATTTAAGATTTCTTTCTATATTTTGGATAACGGTCCATTACCAGATGTGTGCTTTACAAAGGTATTCTCTTGTTTATGGCTTGTTTTCTCAGTCTCTTAACAATCTCTTGACAGTATCTTTCACAGAGCAGAAGTTTCTAATTTTAATAAAGTCCAGCTTATCAAATCTTCTTTTCATAATTGTGCCTTTGGTGTTTTATCTAAAATAATCATCACAATATCCAAGGTCACTAAATTTTGTTATCTTCTAGGACTTTTACAGTTTTGCACTTTACATTTTAGGTCTATGATCCAATGAGTTGATTTTTGTTAAGGGTATAAGGTCTGTGTCTTTCTTGCTGTTTATCACCATTTTTGAAAAGACTATGCTTTTCCCACTGTATTACATCTGCTCCTTTGTCAAAGATCATTTGGCTATATTTAGGTGAATCTATTTCTGGCCTCTCTATTCTGTTCCATTGATCTATTTGTCTATCTTTTACGAATACCAGTGTCTTGATTACTGTAGCTTTATAGTATTGTCAGTCTTCCAATTTTGTTCTTCAATATTGTGTTGGCTATTCTGGGTCTTTTGGATGTCCACATAAACTTTAGAATCAGTTTTTTGATATCCAAAAACATAACTTCCTGGGATTTTTATTGAAACTGCAATCTATAGATCGAGTTGGGAGAAATAACATCTTGACATCATTTTTTCTGTTCACAGAATCTCTTCCCATTTATTTCTTTGATTTCTCTCATTAGAGTTTTGTAATTTCCCTCATATAGAACTTTCACAAGTTTTTTTAGATTTATACCTAAGTGTTTCATTTGGTGTGTATGTGGGGGTGCTAATATAAATGGTATTGTTTTGAATTTCAAATTCCACTAGTTCATTGCTGGCATATAGGAAATTAACTGACTAACCTTGTACCCTGCAATCTTGCTATTATTCACTTATTAGTTCCTTTTATGGGGGTCAATTTGTTTTCCTACATAGACCATCATGTCATCCAGTTTTATATCTTCCTTCCCAATATATATACATTTTATGTCATTTCCTTGTCTTATTGCTTTAGCTTAGAACCCCTAGTACAAGGTTAAAGGGGTAGTGAGAGAGGACATTCTTGCCTTGTTTCTGATCTTACGTGGAAAGCCTCTAGTTTCTCACCATTGAGGTGTAGGCCTTTTGTAGATTATCAAGTTGAGGAAGTTCCTCTCTATTCATACTTTGCTGAGTTTGTATCATGAATGGGTGTTGGATTTTGTCATGTGCTTTTTCTGTATCATGTCACATAATCATGTGATTTTTCTTCTTTAGCCTATTGATGTAATAGATTACTTTGATTTTCTGATGTTGAACCAATCTAGCATAGGTGGCAGAAATCCCACTTGGTTGTGGTATATAATTCTTTTTATAAATTGTTGGATTTGTTTTGCTAGTACTTTGGTGAGGATTTTTGCATCTATGTTTATGAGAAACATTGGTCTGCAGTTTTTTCTTGAATGTCTTTGTCTGATTTTAGTGTTAGGATAATGATGGCCTCATTAAAGTTATTCTCTCTGCTTCTATCTCTGGAAAAGATTGTAGAAAATTGGTGTGATTTCTTCCTTAAATGCTTTGTGGAATTCACCAGTGAACCCATGTGGGCGATTGTCTTTTTATTGTAAAGTTATAAGAGTGCTTTTTTTTTTTTTAATTGGGGAATTGGGGGAGGGGAACAGCATTGGGAAATCGGGGAAGGGGGACAGATAAGTTGCTGTCCTTTTTGTTCTTCAGTCTAGTTGTGGAGGATGTTGCTTCACTGGCCCATGTTGGTATTATCATTGCACTCTTCCTGGGNTCCTGACACATAGAGTTTATCGTTGGGATGTGATTTGGCCGGACATAGCAGTAATCGAGAGGTGCATCAGGCTCAGGCGTCCAGTGAGGGTCACTTCTGTGCAGGTGAGAACGAATCTGTGACAGGAGTTGCAGTTTGGGCGGCTTTGTTTCATAATCACGCCTTCAGTACCACCAAAAATAAACAAATTCAAATTAAAAAAAGAAAAATACCCAGTATTATTCCTAGCCATTTGTTTCACACAAACTCTTTGATCTTTTTGAAATTTTGAACTATTTTGCAGTACTTTATATGGCAGCTAGCTTGATAATAGCTACAATAGTTTTCTGGTATGAACTTAAAATTTACTCTATTAATATTGTCAGACCAAACCCCTCTGCATCCGCCAGGAACTCTATTCATGCTGGTAAGCCTTATGAACAAAGGGAAGAAATAGAAACAGCTTCCTAATTTAACCCTCTGAGTGCTCAGGGCAGGTAAGGCCCAACCCTGCCAGGGCAGCTGACAGCATCGGAGACCAGGGGAATGGGGCAGGCTCGCTCACTGCCTTCCCACATGTCTGCAGAGGAGGCAGCAACCGGCAAGAAGGATCAGGTGACTATGGAGCTGCACAGTCCAGATGGTCAACTAAGACCACATGCTCTGTCAATCAGCCGAGACAGCCCTGGGGGCCTCTCTCATCAGTTCAGCTTCCACAGCACTGCTGAGACACATCATCAGAAACGCTCCCAACATCTAGTCCAGATAGGCCCAATTGAGACATCTCTCCTATTGTTTTTTATTTCACAGATT